GGCCGGAGCCGGGGCGGGGGCCGGGGGGCTGGCGCGGCTGTCGGCGGGAGAAGCGTTGAGGGGGCGAACAGTTCACTTGCCCTGTCTGGAGGGAGCCCCTTGTCCCCCTCCGCCGTCAAAAAGTGACATCGAAAAGTTTCTCCCAAAGTATCTTGGTATTCGTGAGCAGCTCAGGGAGATGGTGCTTGGTCTTGGGGCTTGGCGACACGTTTCCCCCCGTGCCCAAGTGCCATTCTTGTGAAAAGCTCCGCCACGGTAGCGGGGCTTCTCTGGGAAGGGATGGCATTTCTAGTAGATGGGGCGGAAAGAAGGTGTGTGAACACACGCACACCCACCCTCCCTCTCGTGAGATGCGTGCACGCACACACACGCACACTTTAGTGGAACAGATACTGTAGTGGGACAGATGCATTCACCCTCTCTAGTGGGACAGATGCGCTTCAATCTGGTGAGACATGCAGGAGGTAGTGGGATAGGGCAGTACACACACGTGTACACACACACGTGAGACATGCAGGAGGTAGTGGGATAGGGCAGTGTGTGCAGATACTCTCTCTCTGTGTCTAGTGAGACATGCAGGAGGTAGTGGGATAGGAAAGTGTTTCCCCCATTGGAAAGTCCAGAGCAGACAAACCAAGTTGTAGACTACCCAACAGAAAAACAGGGCTCTGTGTTTACAGGTTGGAGCTTCAATGCTGAACACTAGTAAATATTTGGAAAAAATCCTTTCACTTTCTCCTCTCTTGCAGCAGTTGGTTTTTCTTTATAAAATAGAGTGGTTTTTTCCCCTCTTTTTTTGCTCTTCACATCATCCAGAAAGCATTGTACCCCCACTGGCAATAAAACACTCGGTTAGTTAGTAGGCTTCTTATGCACTAGAGAATCTATTGCATATATAAAATAAAATATATTTTCAACTATAAAAAAGATGCTACTTATGGGTATTTATTTGGAATAACATCTATATCTTATTTTATGAAACAAATTGCATGTACTTGACCACGTGAAAGATGTGGTGATTATTTTCGCCAGTTTCTAATAGAAAATAATTTTAACCCATGTCGTGCATGAGAGGAGTCTGTGAACTCATCAGTCTATTTACAAAGGCAGAAAACAAGAGAAAAGTCATCGCTAATTTATAATGCTGGGGAAATGTTCATTACAGTTTTTCATTTTGTACTTTGCAATAAAAAAGCCCACACCAGTGCTGAAATCGCATCTATCTCTGAAGTCAAGGGTGTCTTTCCATTGGCTTTTGAACAGCATTGATTGAGACTTTAGTCGTGATGGCTTCAGTACAGTGGTGTAATCTAGGGTTTGCTTTCTAAGGCAGTATCTGAATATAAAGCTGCAGAGTTGAGGCGTAAAACTGTTTTAATCCAAATAAATATATTAATTTATTATTGCAAAGACTTGAGTCAAGGAGGCCTGCCTTAAGCTTTCTTCAAAAGAGTGTTGCCTTCATGCCACTACTTAATCCCTCCCACTTTTTCAACTTGAGCTTTTGTCCCAAATATTCAGTATTATGGTAACTTATGACACCAAAACCTGTTTTTAGGTCAATCAGTCTGTTTCTGCAATTACCAACAGCTATTGTTTATTTGACTACTTTCAGTGAGAAATATACAGGATGGATTATTTGTTCTGAATCAAAATTGTGTTCTTTTATTTTTCTTTTTGTCTTAATCACAACTTTTTAAAATAAAAGTATGCTCATTCTGAGAAGTTTAATCCCTCACTTTAGTGCATGTTTACATATTAAATTACAATTGTAAATAATAAAAGGAAGCTGTTAAGTTAGTGTCTGGTGGTCTTAAAAACAAGTAATTTAATATTAGTGTATATTTCAGGATAAATTTACTATGCTTGAATTTACAACACGAATTTAAAGGAAACATTAGATATATTTTTACTCTGGATATATTCCACATTTCAGAACCAAGTTAGCTTTGAGGTTGCCAATGTCTTGAAATATTTCGCTTTTATTATTGTGATTTTTTTTGACATCAGGAATGCTGACTCATAAAGCTGAGGTTTGAGACTTGTCGTCTTAAGAAATTAACATGATTAAAATTACTTGCACTATTACTATAAAAAGTAGCTGTATTTACTCAAGCTTATAACACTGTCATATAGATTTGCTAGTGGAGATGCACATTCTGCCTATTTTTCCCTATAACAATGGAAAAAAAACATTAGTGTGATTTTACTGGTCCATCAAAAAGTTCCTTTACTAACAGCATGCAGAACTTCGCAGTCCTTTCTCTCTAAATGTATTTTATTCACATACACTTCCTGCCCCCGTACTTTTTTTCTCAAATTCATACACTCAGGTACACAGAGAAATAGCAGGGAGGGAGGAAGTAATATTTGTTTTGGATATGTTGTCGTCATTTTGTTCAGCACTTAGGAAAAGAGATGAAATGTACCTTAGTCGTTCTCTATATAGGCTGATGTGGGGGACCTTGTTTTGTGCTGGGACCTGAACAGGTTGGGAAGCATTCTCTAAGCAATATAGTTAATTAAGCTTCTATAGAAACATGAAGAAGTTTCTAGCTGTTTTATAAAGGGCTTTTGAGTGACATTTTGAACCACACAAACCCTATTTTTCGTGCATGATTTGATGAACCACTTGTTCATCAAATTATGTAAGCAACAGCTGTCAATATGACCATGTTTTACAATAGCATTCTGCTCTCAATCTGCCCAGGCCTAACTGTGGGACAGTAAAATAAATGCGGAAGTGATGATGTGCATACCTCTGTATTTAACTGAAACTGACTTTCAGCGTTTAACAAAATCCTGTACAACCTTAGTGGATAGAATACACCAAAATTTTGGGTTAAGTTTCAGCTAAATTTAGCCATTTTAAACATTCCACTGCCCAGAATTATTTAAATACTACTAAGGGGTGCGTGAAGACCATGTTCAATGTATAGGTCTAAATATTCTTAAATTGTTAGCTTGTGGTAATCAGTTCTTGCATGTGAAGTAGTATGGATTTTTTTTAATGCCCTGTTCTCTTCTTAATGGCTTCTGAAGTAATTTCATTTTTCCATTATAAATAGCTTTCGATATTCAGGAGAGAGAGAACACGCAAAATGTAAAATTGTTGTAGCAATAGTCCAACTTTGCTTATTAGCATTTAAAGCTTGTAAAATGCGAGTAATTCTAAGAAGGGTGCCTATTTGTGGATGCATGCTAGAGATGCAGAATGTGTCATGTGGATTTCATGAAATGGGACTATAAACAGTTTAAAGTATTTTATGAAATCTGAATTGTGGTGAGAAGAACTCTAATGGCTCCAGTTAGATGGAGGAGAACTGCCTAAGGAATATCTTAAACATATGTTACACTCTAAACGTCTCAAACAGGATAGAGGAATATGTATTTATAGGAGATGAATGAAAACGCACCATGGTCTATTAAAGCACTATCAGATTAAAATGCTGAAGTATGAAAAGTAATTTTAAGTTCAACTGAGCCTCTCTGTACAGTGGAAACGGTTCTGTAGAGAGATTTATGGGCAAATATGAGCATGATGTCCATTCACACTTCAAAAATGTATGCATAACTTCCATTATACTAATGTAGTCCTATTTGTTTAGTCTGGGCCTAGAAAAATGCTTTCAGAAATGAACATTTGAATAATAATATTACCAGTTTTGTTAATAGACAGGCTTATCAATCAGTTATTAAAAGAGTAAAGCATTTTTTTAGCATGAAGAAAATTATTTTATCAGGTGCTCAATCTTAGGCCAATTAAACAATACAAAGACCTGTATCTTCAAAGAAACTGCTTTAAAAAATCCTAGATGTTGAAATGTTCATTTCAAATAATTTTGATGAATGACTGTAAATAGTATGAATTCATTGATCTCAAAGACTTCTGATTGCTTTCCAAAACATTTCAGTAAGAAAAATGAGCTATGTACTTGTAGTCAAAAAGAGCTATGTAACTGATTCATCAATATGTCTGTACTTTTTCAGCATAGCTGTAAATGAAAGCATGAAAAACACATACTACAACACACAAACTACTCTATGTACAGAGTTAATTTTAATTATGTCTGGTATCTAGTATCAAACATCACTTATCAGGAGAAGATAATGTCAAAATATGTGGATTATGCAACTAAGAGAGGCCTGTCAAAAATATTATGATCGCTCAGTTCTTTGATTTCAGTATGTTTTGAAGAGAAATACAAAGTGGGTGAGTGCTTATCAAAGATTGGTGCTGCTTGTACCATTGCTTTGTGGATTGTTTCATAGAACAAACCTTACAGTGATGTGTTCTTTTTGCCCACAGCACATGTA